GCGGCCCTGGCCCCAGCGGGGCGGTGCTCTCCGACGCCTCCTAGCGCCTTCCCGCAGCGCCGCGCGGCGCGCGGCCGTTCCGTTGAGCTCCAGGCGCCGCCGCGTCGAGCGGCTGCGCCGAGCGGCTGAGCCGAGCGGCCGCGCGGAGCGGCCGCGCCGCCGAGCGGCTGCGTTGAGGGGTCTCTCCGCCGAGCGGCCGCTTAGCGGCCGCCGCGCCGACCGCTCGCCCTGCCGAGCGTCTGCGACCACCGTCGAGCTTCTGGCCAGGACGCTGCCCCTGAAACGCCGTGGGCCAATGTGTACCCCGACCCAAACCCAGCGGTGTGAACAAAGTCGTGACGAGTTTTTGTGAGAAGTCTCGGGCCAGACTGGCCACGGGCGATCTCCCACGACGTGTCTTTGTCAATCCTTGCGTGCTTCCCCGATCCCGGCCCCGGGGCCCCTCCGTCGGGCTTCGGGAGCATCAGAAGCGGATCTGGGACGAGGAGCTCTCCTTGGGGAAGGGGTCGGGGCCTCGTGGGGCCGCGGGCTGATGTCGAGGCCCGATCGATCGCCCGCCAGGCCTCAACTTCGTCCATCCTATCCTCATCTCCACCGGGCCATGGTATCCAAGCCCTAGTAGACCACACTCCTGTTGGCGGGGACAGGCACATGTCCCCGCCCAGGCGGGTAAGTCGGCCAGTGGGGCCAACCCCGAGATCCGACTTTGCGAGAGAATTGCGACGTGGCGACAAATCACGACCAGAGCTCCAGACCCTGTCTTTCTGCTGCATTTTTCCAGCCCGATCGATCGGTCTGTGAGGGTCCGAGGGCCCGAGCCCCTGCAAAAATGCTCGGCGTTGAAAACAATGGGACGCCTGGCTCTTAGGGAAGGCCACGTCACCAGGTTTCTGTGATCGAGACCAGGCCTAATCTGGCACAGTCCCGCTCGATTCTGCTTCATCTGGCTTCATCGGGCTGAAGCCTCGGCATCATCCGGGCGAGTCCAGCTTGATGGCCCCTTGATCGGGCCTGATAGCCCTTGATCTTTCGTTCTTGCGAACACCTCCCAGGAGTTTGCGGGCAAGATCTGGATCCATATCCGCTGCGTCTTGGTCTCTCTGGGAAGGGGCGCCGCACGGCCGAGGCGCAGTGTATATGGATACGGATCCAGCCCCCAGAGAGGCTAGATCTGTATAGTACATATCCACTGCGCCTCGGGCTCCTGGGGAAGGGAGCCCGCGACGCCACGACGCAGTGGGCATGGACGCGCACCTGGCCCGCACAGCTGCCTCCCAAGGGGCGGGGATCGGTTCAGCGACGCTCGGTGCCGCGAGCTCCCCCCGTGGCCGCGCCGCATGGCGCACCCCGCCACGCGGGCGCCGGCGCTGCCCGCGAGCCCGCGGCGCGCGGGGGGGGCGTGGCCTCCGCGCCGACCACGCGCCCGGCACCGCGCCCGACAGCGCGCGGCCGCGCGTCGTGCGACGGGGGCGGCGGGGAGGTCCGCCGCAGCGCGCGCTTTCGCCTCCGCCTCGGCCGCCGCCGCCTCCACGCGCCCTCCTCTCTCCTCTCTCCCGGGCTTCCGCCTCGCTCGCTCCTCCCTTCTCCTGCCGCCCTTCGCCCTCCTCCCGCCTCTCTCTTCCTTCGCATTCCTCGTTCTCCCTCCTCGTCCTCCTTTCTGTCCGCTCCCCCGCCTCCCTGTTCCGTCTCTGACTGTGGCTTCGCTGATAACGGCGGTGGCGGTGACGAAGACGACGAACCGTCGCGCGCACACGAGGCTTGGATGATGATTCTGATGATGATGATGATGATGATGATGATGATGATGATGATGATGATGATGATGATGATGATGATGACTATGATGAGGAGGATGAGGATGATGATGATGATGATGCTGCTGCTGATAATGATGCTGCTGCTGCTGGTCATGATGACGATGATGATGATGATGGTGATGATGATGATGATTATGATGATGATAATGCTAATGATGCTGCTGCTGCTGATGATGATCTTGATGATGATGATGACGATGATGATGATGCTGATGATGATGATGCTGATGATGATGATGCTGATGCTGATGATGATGCTGATGATGATGCTGATGATGCTGATGATGAAGATGGTGATGATGATGATGATGATGATGATGATGATGATGATGATGATGATGATGATGACGATGATGATGATGATGATGATGATGATGATGA